TTGGATCTCTTTTCTCCCTCCTTACCTTGCCGTCACCAGCATGTTGGTCCCAACGTGTAAGATGTTCTTCTCTTTATTACCCCGTCCTTTTATATCTCCCAACACCATCAATATAAAGCTTCAATGTAGTAGATTTTACTAAACATTTGAGATAATGAGAACATGATAAGAAATATTAAATAAAGCTGGATGTTAAACATCACTGTTTCCATCACCTAAGAGGAAAAGAAAAAGGTTGATTCCTTTGTAGAGATCCCCTTATGACATACCCCAGGTTTTGCCTCACTTTTTCTCTTGTTTTTTTCCTTGTCAGAGAGAAAGCACTTCTTCAACCCTTTGCAGTAAAATTCTCTTCCTGTTTGAAGTAAATCACTGTCCCCTGCTCACAGAAGTTGGCTTCCTCCAAGACTCTATCCTATAGATCTCTTCTGGCTTAGTTCGGGCTGCTACAATAAAATACTATACAAGGTGGCTTAAATGTTAAACATTTATTTCTCATCGTTCTGGAGGCTGAGAAGTCCAAGATCAAGGTGCCGGCAGATCCAGTGTCCGGTTAGAGCCCTCTTCCTGGTTTGCTGGCAGCCATCTTTTTGTTGTGTCTTCCTAAGGCAAAGAATGCAAACTCTGGTCTTTTTGCAAGGACACTAATCCCAACATGGGGGTTCCACCCTCATGACCTCATCTAAACTTAATTAGATCCCAAGCCCTCACCTCCTAATACCACTGGGGTTTAGGGCTTCAACATATACTTTTTTGAAGGCTGCAAGATGCAGTCCATAACTTTCTCTTATGCAGGCCACCCATGGGGCAAAATGATCTGTAGCTGTTCATTTCCCGGATTTGGCCGTGTGAGAAAGGAAAGGTCTTGGCAAACCAGGTCTGCTTTGAGGTCACTATTAGTGTGAAATGAAGATGTGGGTTTGCTCTTCCCGTGGCCTCCCAACCAGCTGAGGACAGCTCATGGACACAGATCCACATTTGGGTGCACACTCACACCTCCCCCAAGGACACATGTAAATGCTTGCAGGCAGTTCAAACTAATTCCAGGTTTAGGGTGAGAGCAGTTTTCCTGAAGGCGATGTAATTTGTAATCCTTTCCCTTACCCACAATGCAGGCAGCTCTCTCCCTTTTTCTTCCCAGCCTCTTGCTTTCAGGTTCATGTACAGGAAACCTTCTGTGCATAAGAAGTGGAAATCCATTACAGGGTCTTTCTGAACAGCACAGACATCTGCTTCTTTTCCAGCCTCTGGCTACAAAATAAACTCTCTACCTCTGTGTCACTCCTTTGCCTCTGTTAATCCATTATTGACTGTTGCCTGAAGAATGAGACTTCCTTAGAATCAAAGTATTTATTCTCTTTCCCCAACTCTCCCTGCCCCTTAACTTCTCCTTTCTCCACCCCAGCATCTTTTTCTGCCAGTGAGCTACTGGAGTCCTTGCTCTTCCGAGCCCAGATTTTATGGGTCCCGGATCTCACCAGGTAAGTGGCCAGGTGGGTGAGGCCATTGATTGCAGGGATACTTTCGCCCATGGAGATGTGGTTGCATTGAGATACAGTGACTTTGGTTCCAAGTAGGCTCTAAGTATCTCTGATCCTTTAGGCAAAGAAGATTTATATTTGAGTGATTAATGCTGGGAAGTTTCAGGCATGTATTGTGTGACCAGGTAATTGACAAATGACTTCCTGTTCTCAGCTGGCTGCTGCTAACCACAGGCAAATGACGATGCATTTGACAAAGTTCTTGCCAGTTGTGTGTCTCAGCTCAGCTCTAAATATTTAAAGCAGTCTATTCTCTATTCAGCATGCCCTGAAGTGAGCTTCTGAATGCAGCATATTTTGTTCCCTGTTAAAACTACCCAAGCTTTTTAAAGTGTTGAATAAAAGAATAGACAGTAGTAGGTCTGGGCTGTATCTGGCTGTTGGAACCAGTAGGCTTAGTTACCTGTTAATCCTCTGAGGAGTAGCCGGTAGGAACATTGCTCATTTTTCCATTTCTCCCAGGAATTCTTTTATAAAGTTTGAGCAAGGCTGCAAAGTCTCCTCTTCCTGTTATTCATAGGAAAACTTACATTTGCAAAGGTGCTTGGTGCCATTGTGACAGAGGCCAAAAGGTTGCTTAAAAGGATGACAGTGGATAAATGTCAGAAGCCCAGTTTCCTGATCGGTGGTCCCATTCTCTTTACGGGAAGAGCGTCCACTGAAAGTCCTCTGCTGTTGCTGACGTCATATGGTTGGAACTAAATGAATGCTTTTCTAGTGTGTGATCAAGGCTAGGTGAATGGCACCTAGGAAACTACATTAGAAAGTTCTCTGAGTCCACAGAGCTTATAGTCTGCCATAAGAAGACCTAGGTTGCTATCCCAATGCTGTCACTTTTCTAGTCCAGTGACCTTAACTCAGGACCTCAATTCCTTTATCTGCAAATGGCAATGATTCTAGTTACCATTTGTGAGTAGTAAGTAAAATGATGCATGACAAAAATTGATATAAATATATTTTTATTTAGTCTTAATAATGTAAGTGGTAAATGAAGAGAATTTTTTGCTCTGTTATTAAGACAATCTGATATTTTTATGTTTATGTTTATATTTTTATGTTTAAGAGATAAGGAATTATTTGATATTTGAGGAACACTAACAGAAATAAAGTGACTATATTCTGGGTATGTAACATGAACACACAGTGTTTCTAGCCGGCGGGGGTGGGAATGAGGGGAAGAGCTTTGATTAAAAGATAAATAAGTACAAGTCTTTAAAACATTTTTTTATTATTTAAAAATTTTGTATCGGAGTATAGGGTTTTTTTTTCACATCTTTATTGGAGTATAATTGCTTTACAATGGTGTGTTAGTTTCTGCTTTATAACAAAGTGAATCAGCTCTATATATACATATATCCCCATATCCCGTCCCTCTTGCGTCTCCCTCCCACCCTCCCTATCCCACCCCTCTAGGTGGTCACAAAGCACCGAGCTGATCTCCCTGTGCTATGCAGCTGCTTCCCACTAGCTATCTACTTTATGTTTGGTAGTGTATATATGTCCATGCCCCTTCTCACTTTGTCACAGCTTGCCCTTCCCCATCCCCATATCCTCAAGTCCATTCTCTAGTAGGTCTGTGTCTTTATTCCTGTCTTACTGCTAGGTTCTTCATGACATTTTTTCCCCTTAAATTCCATATATATGTGTTAGCATGTGGTATTTGTCTTTCTCTTTCTGACTTACTTCACTCTGTATGACAGGCTCTAGGTCTATCCACCTCATTACAAATAGCTCAATTTCATTTCTTTTTATGGCTGAGTAATATTCCATTGTATATATGTGCCACATCTTCTTTATCCATTCATCCGACGATGGACACTTAGGTTGTTTCCATCTCTGTGCTATTGTAAACAGAGCTGCAATGAACATTTTGGTACATGACTCTTTTTGAGTTATGGTTTTCTCAGGGTATATGCCCAGTAGTGGGATTGGAGTATAGTTGATTTACAATGTTGTGTTAGTTTCTGCTGTGCAGCGAAGTGAATCAGTTATACATATACATATCTCCACCCTTTTTTAGATTCTTTTTCCATATAGGTCGTTACAGAGTTCTGAGCAGAGTCCCCAGTAGGTCCTTATTAGTTATCTATTTTACTTATATACAGTAGTGTGGCTACAAGTCTTAAGCAGTTTAAGTTACATTGATATTTTCGATATCTTCTCTTCAGAATTCCTACAGTACTTGCTTTTTCTGCTATTCAGTGAGCACTTAGTCAAGTCAGGACATGTGATCGAAAGCAGTGAGAGAGTTCACACTTTTCCCCTGCCAAAGAGAATTTGTAATTGGCAGCCACATGCACCATTTATCTCCTAGTCCATTCCTGAAAAGTTATTCTCCACACTAAACATTTATTGTAGAAAACAGAGAGGGAAGGCAGGAAGAGGAGAAAGAGAGCAAAAGGGGATGGAGAGGAAGATTTTTCTAGGGGTATTTACACATGAGAAGTTCTTGAGACAGGTGACTATAAAAATGTTGTGGAGAAGAGAAAGAAGTATGCTAGTTATAAGACAAGTAAAGAGTGGAATTACTTTAAGAATCCTTTTTGCAGGTTGACCTCCACATGGCACTTCTTACAGACTGGTCCCTGTGGTTCACAGCTTTAATAGGGTTACAGATGAAAAGCACCATGAGATATTTCATGCGAAGATTTTTCTCCATCCAACCAAATAGCCTCATCTTTTTTTTATCACCTCCCAATCGACTCTCGCCTAGTTTATCCTCCACTACCATCCACCAGAATAATTTCTGTGAAACACAAATGTGATTATATCAATCCTTTGTTTCAAACCCTCCCTAACGAGATGGACAAGACGTCCCCTGTTAGTTAAGGCACATCCATCCATCCATGAGGTTTTTGCCCACGTGGCTGCTCTGGATGGTGTTTCCAACTTCCTCACGTAGGTGGTCTTCTGTAACCCAGTAAACAACACAGATTCTCCCTCAAGGGGTTAAGAGGGAGATTTCTCAGCAGGAGATGAGAGCAGGGATGCCCTCTTGGATGACCTGATAATCTCCGCCCAAGCCCACGAGTGATGCCAGCCAAAACAGCAAAGGCAGCAGCCACATTCCTTGTGAAATCCAGCCATCAACTGGAAGCACCAGTGACCTAGCGCGGAGCAGGGGTGCGGTGGGAGTGTCTGCCCTGATCCAGAGCCCTGTTTCATCACCGCCATTGTTTGAAATATCCAGGGTAGGATAGTACTTGGTTTTATTATTGTTTTGAAATTCTCTACAACAGAGCACCCACCTATTGCCTTTGCAGACTGCTCCCCCAAGGCAAACCACGCCCTCTCCCCACTTCCTCTCCACCACAGGACAGCACCGCCCCCTCCCTTTTCTTTTTCTAGAGATTGAAGAGCAAGTGCATCACAGGCTTGAGCTGACTGATGGGGAAGTGCCTGGTGACCACTGGAGTGGCAGCCTCTCAGGACTGCAGAAATCACAATTTGAAGGTCAGACACTATAGGTTCATGCAGAGTAAGACCAGTGGAGCAATGCCATCTCTTGGACTTTGGAGATGGGGTGGTGGCCCCAGAAAGACGAGACATCATGGCAGAAAAAGAAGCACTGAGGCTGTTTGCACAGGTGCAGTTTGGACATTAACTTTGGCTGGCATATCTGCATTCACTTTCTGAGCTGGAGATTGTTTTCTAAGTACTTACAGCCAGTAAATACTATTCCTTTCAAGGGGGCTGTGTTGAATTGTTTTGCTCCTGAATTTGTTATACTTTAAAGGTGCTTTATAAATTGGGTTTTTTTCAAGTGTCGCTGTTTTAGTTACTCTAAACCCGGACGAATTTTGATTTAAATTAAAAACTCTCAGCTCGCTTAAAAGGGGCAGATATTTGCTATTGTGACTTGTTGCCAGCCAAGCCTTAAAGAATAAGCGCTGAATCCCATGGTACAGAGAGGAGGGAACAGGTCAAATACTAAAACTAATGTTATCAGCAGTCGGACAGAAATGAGAAAGGGAGGGCCTGGCTTGGAGGGGAGGCTGGAACTTTTGATAGAGATCCTTCCTCGGCCACATAACGGGCATAGCTTCCCATCACCTGCAAGATAAGCCCGTGCTCCTAAGTGTGGCAGATACAGGCTTGGAACCCTGCCTACCTCTTCCATGCCATCTTTCTACGTTGTCCGTTGCATGTATTCTATCTCTGTGCTCCAGGCACCCAAAGCAGCTAGTCCCTGACTGTGACATACTCTTCCATGCCTCTGTGTCTTTATAGGTACTGTTTCTCCTCCCTGGAAAGCCCAGTTTTCTTCTTTCTCCATCTTCCTATCTTCATCTTCAAGAATTAGCAAATTATCTCCCCTGGACAGCTCTCTGATTCCACTCCCAGTCACATCCCAAGCAGAAGTAATTGTTTCCTCATCTGTGATGTTGTTCTGGCATGGGAATGCCAAGTTTGGCTCATGCCTCCACCACTTAGTGCTGTGTGACCTTGGACAAGTTACTTAATCTCTCTGTGCATCAAATTCCTCAACTGTATCATGGGGATAATAACAATAATAATACTATGCCTTATAAAATTAAAATGAGGATAAAGCTCTGAGGAAGTTTCCTAGAATCACATAATAACTTAACCTCTTAATTATCTTTATTGTAATTTATTACTACCATTATCATCATGTATATACCTCCTTTGTGCTTTTATTCACACCAATTTTATTCACATGATTGTTATTGTTGATGTCAGTCTGCCTCAATCTCATCTACCTTTACTCCTCAGGGTTTAACACAATACTTGGCATTAACAGGTGTCCAGGAAATAGGTTTGAGTTTTACAGTACTTATTGGCATTTATGTCTTCTTCTCCTTATCAGATTATAGGCTCCTTAAAGTGTCTTTTCTGCTTTATCGCAATCTTCAGGGATGCTAGTCCAGTACCCTACACATAATCAGCACTCAAAATCTACTGAAGAAACAAGTGAATTAATGAAGAGTGTGTACAAATGACTATTATAGATACTGGCTTCTAGCTAGCAGGCAGACCAGTGACGTCATAGGACACTGACTCCCAGCTTGTCACGTGGGATCAGCTAGAGAACTGAAAGCAAACAGTTTGGTCCACTTGGTTTTTTGTTTCATAAACTTCTGTTGAATTTAAAAGGCAGTCAGGATGTAGTTAAATATGAGGGTCTGTCTTCTGAACCCGAAACCAGTGTATGGAAGTGGCATGGGGTAGATTAGAGATTTGTAGATGGACTAACTTAAATCAAATATCCTTTGTAAATCTGACAGAAAGCTTCTCTACCCCATAGTTTTAAAAGTCTGCATTTCCACAAAATTGGATCTTATAATCAAACTTTCTGTGTTTCTTCAAACTATCTAATGGAGGTGTTTTGATTGGATGTTCCATTATGTTACATTGTCAGGTTACAAATAAAGTCATAATTTTCTTCAACTAGGGACCAGACTGAGTGAAACACTTGCAACCAGATTCTAAGAACAGGACATCAGTATTTCCACGGAAGTGTTTAAAATGGGTTGTTTCTTAGCCCAAGGATGTGATGTGTTTTTGATCCATCTCACAGCATCTTCTATTAATAACTTTCTGAACTTTGGATTGATTATTTAATAGCTCTTACTATCAAATACTATTCCTGTAAAGGGACACTTGTTAGGCTGTTTGAGGTCTGAATTTATGTTTTGTTTAAAGAGTACCATTTAAGGTTAAGATTAAGAGATTTCGGGGGAATGGTTTAAGTTAAAAAATGAGAGTTACTTGAGTCTAAATGTAACCTTTTAAGATTTTCCCAGGGAACTGAAACACATAGGAAAAAATGTGGAGCCATTATAAATGGAATGTAAGACTCTTTACTTTTCTTCTTTAAGCCTCTGGAAATGAAAAATGTAAATAGAAAGATAAATGAGGGAAGGATTTTGAAAGTTCTTCATCAAGCAGTCGAGTTGTTGCCTGAAATGGCAAGGGAAGTAGAGCGGATGCCTCTTGAAGAAGCCTCAGCCGGGCCCATCTGCCCGAGAACCCCGAGCATGACTTCCAGAACCCATCCCTAAGATAGTTCATTTGCCATCTCTGCTTTTGTGCCTGCCACTGCCTCTAGTAGCTTCCATTCTTCCAAGCTGTCGGCAGCACGCCTCTACTAGTTGAATCTATCAATCTCCATCTTCCATCCTATTGCTGGTGTATTATGGAATAAAGACTTGCCTAGAAATAGAAGAAAGTCACACACCCTGCAGCCCTCACCCCAAATTTTGCCTTTAAAAACTCTTCCTCAAAAACCTTCTGGGAGTTTGGGGGTTTTGAGCATGAGTCACACATTCTCCTTGCTTGGCCCTGTAATAAACCATTCTCTGCTCAAAAAAAAAAAAAAAAAAAAAAAAAAAAGACTTGCCTAAAAGTGAGAACATAGTCATTTACTTACTAAGAAACTTTTTTTTTTTTTGAGAACCCACAATGTTATGCCTAGCACTGTGATAAATGCTGGAAGTTCAGGGATGGTGTGGCTTGGGTGCCCATAGACCAGTTTCCTTTTCTTCCTGGGCCCACAGGTATTTTTCAGTTCCCTTGCAGTCATGTGAGACCACGTGGCTAGATTCTGGTTAACGGATTTCAGCAAACGTAATGGAAGCAACTTCCAGGCCTGGTTCCTAAAATATCTTGCGTGATATTATTCTCTCTCCCTCTTATATCATCTCTAGCTGAACGCAGAAGATCCAGGAAAGGACCCCAAGGCCCACGGAGTCAGCTCCATTGCTGGACCACAAAGTCTGGGTACCTGAATCACCACGTGGAGGACAGCAACCTGGGATAACTGTCTGCCTAGAAATATCCTGCATCGGACTTTGCGTGATCAAGAAATGAACATTGATGTTGTTAAGCTACTGAGATTTCAGAGTTCAGTTAATGGAGTAATACAATATAATTATATAGTAGTATAATACAATAATATATTATACTCTCTGACTAATAGCGATGAGTAAGATACAGATCTTGTCTTCAAGGAGTTAACATTTTGGTTGGGAGAAGCATATAAATTATTCTAAAACAATGTGATCAGTGTAGCAAATGAGATGCATAACATACAATGGAAGTAGCACGAGGAGAAAGATGGGGATGATGATGGTGACAGAAAGACTTTCTGAAGGAAACCCATCATTGTGTATTTCTTGCAAGTGTAGGCATGGTTGGGGAGGGTGGCTGTAGGATGAGAGAAGGGGAGAATGAGAGGCAGGTCAGTGTTGCAGGAGCAGAAAAGATGAGCTCGAGCGCAGTGACACACGGGGCTGGAGAGAGAAGCAGATGTCAGAACTTGGAGGGTCTCACCTGTCACACTGGTCACCTGGGCTTTCTGAGATCAGTACTATTCAACGTGCTGACCTGCGATGCTGTAAGAAGCCCATGGCAGCATGTTATCAGCACTCTGCTGCTTGCATGGAAAATGTCTTGCTATGAAAAAAAAAAGTCACCTGGACTAAGTAGCAAGAGCAGTGATGCGACTGATGTTCACTTCGGCACAAGCTTCTTATTTTGTCATGTCCAGAAAACTGTTCCCGGGTCTGAGGACCACACTTGGAGTGGCCCCGTATTAGGCAAATTATTCTGTTTGCTGTGGACAACTGATGTGAAGGGTGTATATTCATGGCAGGGAGACCACTTAGGGGGAGTGGGGAAATAATTCTAGAGGAAATTGACAAAGACCTAAATTAGAGCAGTGGAGGTATTGATGGACAAAAGAGAATGGATTTCAGGAATATTTAGCGCAAGATCAGGGTGTGGTATGGACTGTGAAAGAATTTTTAAAAAATGAGTCAAGGTTTTTGGTTTTTTTTTACATCTTTATTGGAGTATAATTGTTTTACAATGTTGTGTTAGTTTCTGCTGTATAACGAAGTGAATCAGCTACATGTATACATATATCCCCTTATCTCCTCCCTCTTGCGTCTCCCTCCCACCCTCCCTATCCCACCCCTCTAGGTGGTCGCAAAGCACCGAGCTGATCTCCCTGTGCTATGTGGCTGCTTCCCACTAGCTATCTATTTGACATTTGGTAGTGTATATATGTCCACGCCACTCTCTCACTTCGTCCCAGCTTACTCTTCCCCCTCCCCGTGTCCTCAAGTCCATTCTCTACATCTGCGTCTTTATTCCTGTCCTGCCCCTAGGTTCACCAGAACCTTATTTTTTCTTTTTTTTTGATTCCATATATATGTGTTAGCATATGGTATTTGTTTTTCTCTTTCTCACTTACTTCACACCGTATGACCAACTCTAGGTCCATCCATCTTACTACAAATAAAAAACTAAAAATAGAACTACCATATGACCCAGCAATCCCACCACTGGGCATATACCCTGAGAAAACCATAATTCAAAAAGAGTCATGTACCACAATGTTCATTGCAGTTCTATTTACAATGGCCAGGACATGGAAGCAACCTAATGTCCATTGACAGAGGATAAAGAAGATGTGGCACATATATACAATGGAATATTACTCAGCCATAAAAAGTCCTGAGTTTTTTGATCAAGTGTCTGGGTGGATGGTAGAGCCATCAGCTGAAGAAGAGTCCATACATGGACTTGGTGGAGTCCATTAACATCCAGTGCTGTAGAAAGTGAAGTGGATAGGAAACACCCGGGTAGATATGTTGAAAGACCAGTTGGAGACGATTGTCTATAGAGCTTGGGGGAAGAGCTCTGGGGTGGAGTTTCAAATTTGGAAGTCACTATCATAGGAGGTATGGAAAATGGGAGTGTAACTCTACAGAGTGAATAAGACAGTGGCCCAGGATGAAACACTGGGGAACACCAAAATTAAGGAGACAAAGATCTCCTGAGACAGACCTGACCTTCCAGAGGAGTGAGAGGTGCTGGGAGCCCAGAGGGCAGAGTGTTTTTCGATGCTCTGAGCCAGCAAGAGCAGCAGGGAGGACCAGTAAAATATCAATGCAAATGTCTCCACTGGAACTGAATCAGATGTCTTTGGTGAAATCTGAGCTACAGCAGTGCCCACCAGTAGCAGACACAGTAGCAGAATTATAAGGAATTCTAAAACCATCAAGAGATCTAGGCAAACTCCTTTTCCTCTCAAGTCCTGTTTCCACCTCTGTAAGAGGAGAAGTCAGACTAAGTGAGATGCTTTCAGTTCTAACATTCTTAATAATAGATACCATTTTGAACACCAAATATATGGTAGTCACATACTTTTGATAAAATTGTGCAAGATGCTGGCATGCCACTTCTCCTGAGGCTCAGAGAGCTTAAGGATCACGCTGAGGTTCATACGCTCAATGAATTTCTGAACTGAGAATTAAAAATTAGGTTTGTCTGACAATAAAACCTGTGTTCTTTTCACTATCCTGCACTGCACGATGATTGTGAGGAGAGATAAGGCACCAGGCCGAATGTGAATTGAATTTGGTAGTAGATCGTGTATTAGAGCCATGCTTGCTATATTTTCACCGACAATATTCTTTAATAAAAGGCAGAATGTTCCTTTTGAGGAACATAAACGAAATTCACTGCAAGGGCTTTGCATTAAGCTGATGTTAGGTATATAAAAAAGACCAGGTTGATCAGCAAGTGACAGGGAAATTGGGGAACTTTTATATAGACAGAAAAAAAATCAATACTAGCATAATAGTTTACAGACGTAATGCATTTTTCAGTTAAAAATCTCTGAAGACAAGCTTAGTAGTCGATCGGTATAGAAACCCTTGAGGGCATGATTCTCATTCAGTGCAGGTAGGTATTATCTGAAGCCAATTATCTGATATAAGAGAATAGCTCATGCCTTCTCCAGGTGCCTTTCTTTGAGTATGTTTTAGGAATGATTACTTTTAAAGTTAGCTAGCATACCAAGGGGAATTTCTATATCTATCCAAAGAGAAAAAGGAGGAGACTATTTTGAATGTGACACATTTAAAGAACCAGTGGTGTCATTGGGCTTTAGAAAACTGGGCAAAGAGGCATGGCCAAGGTTTTCAGGAGCTTTCTGATTTAGCTATTCAGACTTTTCTATATACTCTTTCTGGGGCAAACACTCTCTGTCCAGAAGGCTTACAATTTCTTCTTATGCCCTCAAGTAGTCCTTCAGTGATAGTCTATGTAATAAAGTGTTTTAGATATAATTAAGTCTGAATATTCGATTTTAAAGTCAAAGAGATGGAACACAGATAGCGGAGGTGTCTTGCCCAAGGTCACAGTTAGAGTAAAGCTGTGACTAAAGCACCAGGCATCCTAGCCTTTGGTGCAGTGCAATTTCTGCCACACTGAGTCTGGGATGTAAGCTCAGTGCAAAACAGGGCTCTAGCTTAGTTGTTGTTATATCCACCATAGGACCTCGAAAGGTACGTGGCACACAGAGTGTTGGCTGTATAACAATGGTAAAGAACAAAGTGCTTATGTTTTAAATTCCTAGCAACACAGAAAAGATTCTTTTGTGGGTTTCCCCATCTGTTGTGTTCTAATTCCACCAGGCTACCTGTCCTATAGACTACTTAGCCCCATCCCCAGCTCATACTTGTCTGAGGATCTGGGAGTAGCCAAGCCCCAAGGTGGCAGTAAGGTGAAGAGACTGGAGGCTCTGTACTCAGGCAAGCTGGCTTGAGTCCAGCTCTGACCTGGCTTGGATTATTGCTGGGTTCTTACTCTACCTTGATTCAGTAATTGAAGTTATTTGTGACAACCCGAGATCTCAGTCTATGCCTTGATTTCTTGCTCATTATCTCTTAGACTAATCTAGGCTTTAGTGTAGTAACAAACAAGCCCCCAGATCTCAGTGGTTCAATACATAAAGGTTCATTTCTCACTCATGAGTCTGGTAGCTCTCTGGGACAATTCCTTTTTAAACCATAACTTAAGGACTTCAGTTTTTTGTATCTGGCAGCTGTACCATGTGGAAAACATGGCATCCAGGTCAGCTGGTGGAGGAAGAGTGAGCTGGAAGGCTGTGTACTATCTCTTAAATGCTTTAGCTTGGAAATGACACACATCACTTCTGCTCAACGCTGATTCGTCAGGACTAGTTACTTGGCCTTCTCCAACTGCAGGGGCTTTGGAAATTTAGGAAAGCACATAGGCTTTGGTAAGTAACTAAGATCCCTGTCAGAATCAGGCAAATGAGAGATCACTGAGGTTTTCATCTTTCTTTTTCTTTCCTTCCTTAAAAAAAACCCCCAAAAAACCCATACTTGCGATAAGCGGACTTTGCACAATGGAATGTTCTTTGTGGCTTAGCAAGACATAAACAGCGCTATTGGTAGGTCTAGGAAACATATACAGTGGGGCCTTAGGCTCTTGAGAACTTTGCCAGCCCCGGCGACTGCTCTGAGTTTAGGTCACAGGAGTTGTCTCACTGAGTAATAAAATGTGGGGTGGACTTGGCTGGGCTGAACCCCAGTTGGCTGACTGTTCAGTTCAGACAGAACTAAAGGAAAACAGTTGCCCAGTGGCCTTTCAGTTCTGCTCCTTTCCTGTTATTTCTTCAGCCATTTAGAGTCTAAGGTCTGGATAGAGCTGGGCCAAAGTTTGGCAGGATTCGAGACAGATAAATCATTTGCAGACCAGCAAGGGCCTCACAGCTTTACTAGGAAAGGGAGAATTGGAAGCTTGGATTGGGGTGTATCTATGTGTCCTTTTAGTGGCCAAGAGTGCTTTCATTTTAACCCGCACTGAGGCCAAGCACAATTGTAGAATCACACATTCTTTTTTTTTTAACATCTTTATTGGCATATAAGTGCTTTACAATGGTGTCTTACTTTCTGCTTTATAAAAAAGTGAATCAGCTATACATATAGATATATCCCTTTATCCCCTCCCTCTTGCGTCTCCCTCCCACCCTCCCTATCTCACCCCTCTAGGTGGTCACAAAGCACCGAGCTGATCTCCCTGTGCTATGCGGCTGCTTCCCACTAGCCATCCATTTTACATTTGGTAGTGTACATATGTCAACGCCACTCTCTCACTTCGTCCCAGCTTACCCATCCCCCTCCCCAAGCTCTCAAGTCCATTCTCTACATCTACATCTTTATTCCTGTCCTGCCCCTAAGTTCTTCAGAACCTTTTTTTTTTTTTTTAGATTCCATATATATGTGTTAGCATGTGGTATTTGTTTTTCTCTTTCTGACTTACTTCACTCTGTATGACAGACTCTAGGTCCATCCATCTCACTACAAATAACTCAGTTTCGTTTCTTTTTATGGATGAGTAATATTCCATTGCATATATGTGTCGCATCTTCTTTATCCATTCATCTGTCGATGAACACTTAGGTTGCTTCCATGTCCCAGCTATTGTAAATAGAGCTGCAATGAACATTGTGGTACAGGACTCTTTTTGAATTATGGTTTTCTCAGGGTATATGCCCAGTGGTGGGATTGCTGGGTCATATGGTAGTTCTGTTTTTAGTTTTTTAAGGCACCTCCATACTGTTCTCCATAGAGGCTGTATCAATTTACATTCCCACCAGCAGTGCAAGAGGGTTCCCTTTTCTCCACACCCTCTCCAGCATTTATTGTTTGTAGATTTTTTGATGATGGCCATTCTGACCACTGTGAGGTGATTACCTCATTGTAGCTTTGATTTGCATTTCTCTAATGATTAGTGATGTTGAGCATCCTTTCATGTGTTTGTTGGCCATCTGTTTATCTTCTTTGGAGAAATGCAAATTTAGGTTTTCTGCCCATTTTTGGATTGGGTTGTTTGGTTTTTTTGATATTGAGCTGCACGAGCTGCTTGTAAATTTTGGAGATTAATCCTTTGTCAGTTGCTTCGTTTGCAAATATTTTTCTCCCATTCTGAGGGTTGTCTTTTCATCTTGTTTATGGTTTCCTTTGCTGTGCAAAAGCTTTTAAGTTTCGTTAAGTCCCATTTGTTTATATTTGTTTTTATTTCCATTTCTCTAGGAGGTGGGTCAAAAAGGATCTTGCTGTGATTTATGTCATAGAGTGTTCTGCCTATGTTTTTCTCTAAAGATTTTATAGTGTCTGGCCTTACATTTAGGTCTTTAATCCATTTTGAGTTTATTTTTTAGAATCACACATTCTTTACCTTCAGTGAGTAAATGCTCTCCTAGTCATTTGGTGGGAAGAACCTAAGGATTCCCAGCAGACAAAACACATATCAACTGGAAGCAATATGGGACACTGTGATGGGATTTGCATGGCATGATGCTCTGCCTTAATGTTTCCTACCAGTTTCTGCTCTTGTTAGGATCATCTATTGAAAGAGGGCTTTGATTTTTTTTTTTTTAATTTTAAAAATTTATTTTATTTATTTATTTTTGGCTGCGTTGGGTCCCCGTTGAGGTGCATGGGCTTCTCACTGAGATTGCCTCTCCCCCTGCGGAGCACAGGCTCTAGGCGCGCGGGCTTCAGTAGTCGTGGCGCACGGGCCCAGCTGCCCCGCAGCATGTGGGATCCTCCTGGACCAGGGCTCGAACCCGTGTCCCCTGCATCGGCAGGCGGATTCCCAACCACTGAGCCACCAGGGAAGCCCTGATTTTTACTTTTAATTAAAGTTGGAGACTTTAAGTTACACCTGAGAAAAGAAAGGGGAGAAAACTAATTGTAAGTCATTCTCTCTCCTCTAACGCTTCTCAGCCCCACATCTCATAAGTTATCAAATCCTCACAATTATGCTTTCTGATGATTCTATAATCTGCTTCATGTTTGATAGCTGATTGCCTTTGCCTTACGTTAAGGCTCCATTATGTCCCATCTAGAATAGCATCCTAACTGGTCTTGCTAGTAAAAGTAAGACAGAGTAGTATGTCAAAACTCAAATATAACCATATCACAAGACATGTAAAATATTTCAATGGTTTTTGATTGTCTATGGAATAAATTTCCATTCCCCCTCTTTCAGTGTTAAGGCTTGTCACGATGTGGCTGCTGGTTTTCCTGTTGTCTCTCACCTCTCCACACTGCCAACCTGTGGGGAATAACTGGTAGGTACCAGATTGTCTTATACCCGTCTGTGCCTTTGCTCCTTCCTATATGTTGCTACCCAGAATGCTGCTCTCTTCTTCATCTAGCAAACTCTTGAATCTTTCAGGATTCAGCCCAGACAGCATCTCCCTTAGGGAAAATTTCTAGATCCCCTCAGTCGGGTTAGACACCCTCTATCTGGGTTCTGGCAGCGTTTATCACACTGAATTGTAATATTTAATGTGCTCAGAATCTCCACATAGATTCTCAACCCCCTTGAAGGCAGAAACCATACCTTATTTAACGTTGTCTCTATATGTTTTCTTACTCTCCATGATGTTCTATTGATCTTTATGTCTACATTTATGCCATATCACACTATCTTAATAACGGTAGCTTATAATAAGTCTTGAAATCAGGTAGTGTAAGAGCTACAACTTTATCCATACCTTATTTAACGTTGTCTCTATATGTTTTCTTACTCTCCATGATGTTCTATTGATCTTTATGTCTACATTTATGCCATATCACACTATCTTAATAACGGTAGCTTATAATAAGTCTTGAAATCAGGTAGTGTAAGAGCTACAACTTTATAGTGTCTGGCCTTACATTTAGGTCTTTAATCCATTTTGAGTTTATTTTTTAGAATCACACATTCTTTACCTTCAGTGAGTAAATGCTCTCCTAGTCATTTGGTGGGAAGAACCTAAGGATTCCCAGCAGACAAAACACATATCAACTGGAAGCAATATGGGACACTGTGATGGGATTTGCATGGCATGATGCTCTGCCTTAATGTTTCCTACCAGTTTCTGCTCTTGTTAGGATCATCTATTGAAAGAGGGCTTTGATTTTTTTTTTTTTAATTTTAAAAATTTATTTTATTTATTTATTTTTGGCTGCGTTGGGTCCCCGTTGAGGTGCATGGGCTTCTCACTGAGATTGCCTCTCCCCCTGCGGAGCACAGGCTCTAGGCGCGCGGGCTTCAGTAGTCGTGGCGCACGGGCCCAGCTGCCCCGCAGCATGTGGGATCCTCCTGGACCAGGGCTCGAACCCGTGTCCCCTGCATCGGCAGGCGGATTCCCAACCACTGAGCCACCAGGGAAGCCCTGATTTTTACTTTTAATTAAAGTTGGAGACTTTAAGTTACACCTGAGAAAAGAAAGGGGAGAAAACTAATTGTAAGTCATTCTCTCTCCTCTAACGCTTCTCAGCCCCACATCTCATAAGTTATCAAATCCTCACAATTATGCTTTCTGATGATTCTATAATCTGCTTCATGTTTGATAGCTGATTGCCTTTGCCTTACGTTAAGGCTCCATTATGTCCCATCTAGAATAGCATCCTAACTGGTCTTGCTAGTAAAAGTAAGACAGAGTAGTATGTCAAAACTCAAATATAACCATATCACAAGACATGTAAAATATTTCAATGGTTTTTGATTGTCTATGGAATAAATTTCCATTCCCCCTCTTTCAGTGTTAAGGCTTGTCACGATGTGGCTGCTGGTTTTCCTGTTGTCTCTCACCTCTCCACACTGCCAACCTGTGGGGAATAACTGGTAGGTACCAGATTGTCTTATACCCGTCTGTGCCTTTGCTCCTTCCTATATGTTGCTACCCAGAATGCTGCTCTCTTCTTCATCTAGCAAACTCTTGAATCTTTCAGGATTCAGCCCAGACAGCATCTCCCTTAGGGAAAATTTCTAGATCCCCTCAGTCGGGTTAGACACCCTCTATCTGGGTTCTGGCAGCGTTTATCACACTGAATTGTAATATTTAATGTGCTCAGAATCTCCACATAGATTCTCAACCCCCTTGAAGGCAGAAACCATACCTTATTTAACGTTGTCTCTATATGTTTTCTTACTCTCCATGATGTTCTATTGATCTTTATGTCTACATTTATGCCATATCACACTATCTTAATAACGGTAGCTTATAATAAGTCTTGAAATCAGGTAGTGTAAGAGCTACAACTTTATCCATACCTTATTTAACGTTGTCTCTATATGTTTTCTTACTCTCCATGATGTTCTATTGATCTTTATGTCTACATTTATGCCATATCACACTATCTTAATAACGGTAGCTTATAATAAGTCTTGAAATCAGGTAGTGTAAGAGCTACAACATTATTCTTCTTTTCAAAGCTGATATGGCCATGTATACCCTTTATATTACTCTATAAATTCAGAATCAGCTTTTCAATTGCCACAAACAAGACTTTCTTGATATTTTGATTGGGATTGTATTTAATCTACAGGTCAATATGAGGAGTACTGACATCTTAATGACAGCATTGAATCTTCTGGCCCAGAACTGTGTTATATCTCTCCATTTATTTAGGCTAGTTTTCATTCTTTCAGTAATATTTTGTAGTTAAGAGTGCACAGGGCTTACACATCTTTTGTTACTTAAAGAAAAAAGCTGACAGGCAAAAACTCAAATTTAGGAAATGTAAATTGGGAGGGGATTCTTTGCTTTCCAGATGGAGTCAACAGAAGTCTTCTTAAATACCCGCAAACCCTGCATTGGAAAAAATACATCACAGCGTAGGTACTCAAAAACACTGCTGATAACTGAATGTCTGTTGGATTTAGAGAATTTGCATTCATAAGCAAACCCAAAGTCTACAGGGAGTAAAGGATGCCAGTATCCCATTTACCTTACTCCTCAGTGGTGCTTGCTTGGGTTACTTGCAGGTAAAAAACTTGCATTCCTTAAACCCAGGAGTCTGTGTCAGGCAGACTCAGCATCCGGGAGAGCAAGGATATATTTGGTCACAGTGATAAGGGCCTGGGTTTTCCTGGGCCTGTGAGTTCCCATCAGCCTGATGGTTCTTAGAAAAGATGCATCCCTCCCACACACAGCCAGACTGTGTGCATGTGGGATGAGGGCTGGCTCCACAAGTCAGGCATAATTTATGGGCAACTACAGGAAGCAGAAAGTCTTAAGGCTAGACTGAAAGTGCAGATGGGGAAGTATCCTCCTCAGGGCTATGCCAACACCTGCCAGACTGTGGGAAGTTCACAGTCATGTTCCTGTTCATCTTGCATCTGCTCAGAATTGAACCTTGCTAAAGTTCAGTTTTGCCTGATGCCCATTCCAGCTCTAAAGCCTCTCATGGCTCCCTCTTACCGACTGAATAGTTCAAATTTCTTTTTATGACATTTAAATCGCTTTATAATCAGCCTCCAAATACCTAGAAGGCCTTATATCCTATGTATTCCGTACATTTTTCCTGATCTCTAGTTGTAATATGAAATTCTCTACAAATAGCAAAATTGTTTCTTACTTTTGCTACTGTAGTGTCACTGTACAGTAGGACCTCACTCTCCTAGTTGATATATTATTTTACTTTCTGAGAGATTTCTGCAATTTCACCTCCCAATCATTTTCTTGAAATTTTCATTTCTACTGTTCACCCAATCCATTCAGCCCAGGTTGCTGGAATAATGTTCCCAAAATTACAGCTTTGCTCATAAGCCTGAAGAAAAAGTTCAGTGCTTTTCTAAAACCAAAAGATAAGGCAGAACTTACTGGCTTGGCATCAAGACTCTTGGAAATCTAAACAACACCTCCCAAACTCCCTTCCCAAACCCCCAAACAACCAAAGAAACAAAAACACTCTTTAAAATCCACTCTCCCCTGCCTTAACTTACCTTGGTTACTGCGTTTCTTCCCCTTCAGTCTTTCTCTTGTACTTATGCATTTGTTGTTCTCATCTGTACGTCAGATTTTGTTGCTGATTGTGTGTGTGTGTGACTGTGTCTATATCCCTACTAGACTGTGAGTTCCCTACGGCCAGTACCTCTTTGGCTCATCCTATAGCCTCTTTAGGACCAAATACCACTTCTTCCAACAGTAGATGCCCAATTAATATTTGCTGGTGATGAAGAAGAAAGAAATGGAGCAGAGCAGAGGATGCTCCATGTGGGTGTTGCATCATAGAAATACATAGACCTACCAGAAGCTTACAATCTGGCTGGTGGCCATAAGAATAAATGAGTGCTCTTTCACTTCCATTTAACAGATATATGTGGATCACCTCAAGGTTAGATATTAAAATATACTATTAAATACTAATCCCAGAGGAAGAAATGCAAGTTCGTGCTCAACTAATGTCTGCTGGTAGGATATGAAACTTGGACCACCTTTCCATGATTTAATGAGCTCTAAAAGAGGACATCACATTCTTCCACCTGCTGCCCCGGCCTTGTTGTCACAACTATGAAACGGCCGGACTTCATCAGCAGTTAAAATGAAGACTTGCATGTGCCCAGTCAGCAGAGGAAAGATCACTGAAGGTCAGGAATAGAATAAAAGGTAAAAGCATCACTTTATGCCCATTGAAGAAATTTTCAACCAACGGGCATCCCTGAGTGAGACTTTCCATGTTCAGAGGGCTTTCACTGCTTTCATACACACCTGCTTTATGCTGTATGCCATGCAGAAGCCATGGGCACACAGATGAAACAGACACAAGGAGCTACAGAACACGTGGACAGCCATTTAAAAAGGTCCCTCACATTTATGTACAACTTTACAATTTTCCTTTAAATAAATTTTTGTCTATTGTTATAAAGTTATATCACAAAATGTTAATTAAAAGAAATAAAGGGGGGAAAGTGGCTGGGGGTGGTGGTGGGATGACTTGGGAGATTGGGATTGACATGTATACACTGATGTGTATAAAATAGATAACTAATAAGAACCTGCTGTATAAAAAAAAATAAAATAAAATTCAAAAATTCAAAAAAAAAGAAAGAAAAACATACCCGTATTCCTACACACAAAGATAATTGTTCAAATTGTGCTAAATTTTTCATCCTTTTATCTATGCCTGAGTACTTTTCAGTAGTTGAGAACATACCCTATGTTCTCTTCGTCCATTCACAAGCATTTCCTCATGTTAATACATAGATGCTTTATAGTTTTCATTCAATCTTTAAAAATTAACATATATCTTACACACAGTTATATCCACTCTTCTGTGAGTTTGATGAATGTGTACATTTGTGTAACCACCATCACGATAAGATATAGAACAGTTTCATCATCTCCCCAGATTTTCCCGTGACTTTGGAGTCAGTCACCCCAACCCCCAGATCCTGGCAACTACTGATCTGTTTTCTGTTCCTACAGTTTTGTTAGATTTATACGCTATGTAGGCTTTTGCAACTGGCTTCTTATACTCAGCATAATGCCTTCAAGATTCATACATGTTGTTCTGTGTATAACTAGTTTGTTCAATTTTATTACTGAGTATTATTTCATTGTATGGCTGGACCATACTTTATCAATTCCCTAGTTGCTTATTTTTATAGGACTTCTAGTTTTTTAATTGTTGAGGTTGGATAGTTTTTCATATATTTTGGATGAAGTGTCTTTTTATCAGAATTGTAACTTGCAAGTGTTTCCTCAATCTTTGTGTGAGTTTTTTCACTCTCTTAAAAGTGTCTTTTGAAGAACATAAATTCTTAATTTTTATGAAGTCCAATTAATCAATTTTCCTTTCATGCATTGTGCTTTTGATGGTGTAT